ATTATTTGTATTCTAATTTTATTTACATAGCACCAAATCCCAAGAACAGTGTTCTCAAGGCACTAAAGAGACTCTCCAATATTAAAGAAACAAATGCCAAGCACAGTGGGAAGGAGAAAAAACTCCCCTTTAATATGAAGAAACCTCCAGCAGAACTATGCTAAAGAAAGGGCTCGGTTGCCAAGTCGCTGCTGATAGGTGTAGCACCTGGTGTGGTCTTCTGCTGCTGTGGCCCATCGGCTTTAGTGTTTGATGTGTTGTGCATTCAGAAATGATCTTCTGTATGACTTGACTGTAACAAGTTACAAGTTAGTGTTGACATCAGCTCGAAGAAGTCTGGCCATTCTCTGACCTCTGGTGTCAACGAGGAATTTTCATTTAGAGAACTGCTGCTCACTGGATATTTTTTTTCTTCTTTTTCCCTGTTTTTTGTGAGAATTCTTGTTAACCTTTCAGTGACGGTTGTATGGGAAAATCCTAGTAGCAGTTTCTACTAAATACTCAGCTTAGTCCGTCTGACCAGCAGCCACAACTTGTTTAAAGTCAATTTTCTTTTCTATGTGGTGCTGAGTTTAAACTTCAGCAGTTCTTCCTCACCATGCTTAAATCCCTAAACGCAGTCAGTTGCTATAGATATTTGCATTAACAATCCTTTGAACCGCTATACCTAAACTTACTGTAAAGTAATCGTTTGCAAGATAATTAGTTTTGAGTCCTGTGACTATGAACATAAAACACTAAAACGCTGGACGATCCCTTTATTGCTGCAGCACAGAAGAATGACTGAAACCAATTAAAATGCTTCAGATATATTTGGCAAAAACATTCTCATGTTCTGCATTAAGTTGGCAAAGCACATCTACCCCAATTTTTCTCGTTATGCATAAAACTGTTACTTCTGTGTGACTCTAATAATTTTAATTTCCCAACTCTGCAACTGATTGGTTGCTTTAATAGCAGAGATCGGACCTGAAGCACATGTCTGATAAGTGTCACTGTTAGTGTTGGTGGAATTCTGTTATTTGTGTATTGCAAAGATAATGCCATGTATATTGATTAACAGTGTTTTTAATCGAGCTGTTTTTTGTTTACACCGCTGAAAAATGTATATAGGGTAGATAGTGTGTGTGTGTGTGTGTGTGTTCACTGTTAGATATCTTATCAGCATCTACAATAACTAATTACCATATTAACGATCCCTCTTCCCTTATACTCTAAGCAGATTCTTTTTGAAACCCCCTTTGAAAACACTATGTTTATGTGTGCAGCCTCCTGAAGGGTATTGCAATGTTAAGTGATATTAGATGCCAGCTGACTGTTGATGCATTAGATCTAGGTTGATCTGACTCCCATAATGGCACTGCTCATCCAGAAGTGGGGAGCTGCCCTTGACAGGAAAACAATATTGGGTGTTTTGAGGGATGACATTTGCCTGTGATTGAGCACTCTAATCAATCACATACTGAATGGAAATCATCTTGCCTATTTCTGAGGCAAACAAACGTGTTACACAAAGCTTTTTACTGCTGTATGAAATTTTAGTTTTCTGCAATTCAGAACAATATCTCTATTAGTTCACAGCAAGAGGCTTCTCCCAAATTTTCCGTAAGACATTTTCAACTGTGGCTTTCTGTGTAATAGTGATTGTGTGTGTGTGGGGGTGGTTTTCAGTTTCGCGTGTGCTCAATGTGCCTTGAAACGACACTATCTACTGTACCTAGCAGAAGCGCCAGCTCCTAGGAAATATTGTGCTTATTTACCAGCTCACTGTCAAATCCAAACAAACAACTGTGAACGTCAGATTACGTTCACTTTATAAATTTTTATTGCAGAATGGATCATATTTCACACCCTCACACCTGTCTGAGGTGTTAGGTGAAGCCTGGAGTTTTCAGGTTGTCAAAGATTCACTCTCAGCAGGGAGACTTTCTCCACTTACTGTTGCAGTAGGTGCTGCAGCTCTGCTGGGTCTGATTGGATGGGGGTTTTTTTTAGACATCACACAGCACTTAAATGTTTCAGCTGAGTTTCTGTTTTTTCTTTCAATTACCCTCGCCAACCTTGAGGCCGTTTGCTTTCACAATTGTCATCACACTTTAATATGCTGTGGAAAAAAGACACATCACAGCAACTCATCAGTGCAATGAGGGGAGATGTCTGGGAGCAACAACCTCATTGATCTGTGATGCCTTTATCTTATTACTCAGGAGGAATTACTTCCATGAGTAACACCGCCACAAGGGTTAAAGGCCCTCATGAAAAGGGTTTGAAATTTTAGCCATTCAATTTACTGAATGTATTTTCAAACTCTATTATTTGCAGGTTTGAAAGTGACTGGACTTCTAAAGAGACTTAAAGAGGTCCAGTCGCTTTCTTTCTAAGCTCCTTAGATTGCTTTAGTTCATTGATGTTTGTGGGTTTTCATTCATGCACAGCTCTCAGAAGGTCTTGTCTCAGCATTGAGGTCTGGACTTTGACTAGGCCATATCAGCTCTTTGGTTCTTTTCTTGTTCAGTCATTTTGTTTTCAGATTTCAGCCACGCTTTAGCTGTCAGATGGCCTTACATTTAACTCAAGAATGCTCTCATATACAGAGGAGCAGTGTTAGGGTAAAGTGTTACACAGTAATGCTTTACTGTAAGAAATTCAGTTATCACACTACAGTTATGACACACACCTGTGTTATTACAGATGTAAAAGTTGTCAAATAAAGGTGTTAAGATGTGCAGCTCAACAAACTGACAAACTTTTGAATTTAGAGGGGTGGTCATATTGGCGGTTAATCAAATAACCCTCTTAATGCCTATAGAAGCCATACCTAAGACTGCACAGAGTTCTGTAAAAATGTTTTCTAAGGAAACTTTCCATAAATAAAAATCCTGCTCATATTTTTTTTCATTAACAAGCTATCTTAAAATCTTAAGAGCTTCAGTTGACTTGAAAGCTTAATAAAAGGCATCTTTACCTCTTTAGTCGCCACCAGGTGAATCAATTACACCTCTGTAGTGTTAGTATGCATTCTGCTAGGCTATAGTATTGGTTTGAGGTTGGTAAGCATTGTCTCCTTCCCATGAAACTAACTCACAGTAACTGGGTCCAATCTTTCAAAAGATCCAAATATATATTTTTGTAATTTATATTAAAAAAAAAAGAAAGATTAAAAAAACTGATACAAGCAATGTGGAAATGTGGAGTGCGGTTTATAATTACCACAGGCCACCCATTTGAGGCCAAACTCAAAAGTCAAGTAATCACCAAAGTCACTAAGAAGAATGTTTGTAAGATACGTTGTGCCAACTCATCCAAGAGCTGCAGTTATTCCAGTGTGGTGAACTGACCGACCAACGTATTAGCACTGTTGTCATTAGCATGGCCCAAAAAAAAAAAAAGAAAAGCTAGAGCTGTCACTGACAGCAACCCAATCAGGTTATGAAAATCAACAGGCAGTCTTAGGCACAAATATGTTTATTGGAAACTCCCTAAGCAAGAGTGCAACACAGCTGGTGCAGTAAAGCACAACACACACTTAGACCAGAGTTCTGCTTGCGCTGTGCTAACCGATGGCAGCTCCGCTGAAGCATAAAGTAACTGAACTAACTGAGCTCATTCAGATGTTTGCTACTGCACAATCTAAGATTGTTCATTTGCATAATATAAGGAACAGTGTAGTAGCTGCTAAATACAGTTTTTTTTTTATTCTAATACCCCAAACCTTGATTTGTGAGTTTCAGTTTCTTTCATCAGAGTTAGTATAGACCCCCACGATCGCACAAGATACCTAAGGATCCTTTGATTCTTCATGGACAAGGTTCACACAGCTGCAGTCCTTTATTGTACATAAAGTATACAAATAGCAAAACACAGCTCAAAGACTTCTCAAGGCCTGACATGCTTATTGATAGAAAACAATCTTCTCACAAATGGAACTGGCATGCCATGAACAAAGATTCTTTTTTTTTTCTTCAGACATCTATTCATGATAGCTGACAATCATCTCAATATTCTTCCGTATTTTTATTTTCTTAAGTTTATTTATGCCTTCAGTCCTTGTGAAGGTGAAACATCTGGAAAAAATATCTGAGGAGTACACACTGGCTGCTTATCTAATTTAAAATAATTAAATATTTATTTTAATAACTTTTCTTTCTCTCTCTCTAAAAAAAAGATTAAATTTCGTTTCTTAGTGACACATCAACCATTTGAAATAACAGGACACCAACTGCTACAACAGCATCTATAGCACCAAATGAAAACAAGCCGTGATCTTAGATCATTTCTAAGAGAGCGGGGAACTCAAATCCCCTGTTGAAAAAAGGTGAAAATACAGACTTCTGAACAATGCTTTTCCTGCAATATACAGTACCACATAATAGGAGAAAACTAAATGACAGAGTACAAACATCAGACCGCCATCAGTCAGGCAAATGCAGGTATAGAACATTGTGTATTTGTGTCACAATCCTTTTTATCTCTGAAAATCTGCCTCACAAAGCCAGTATCTCACAGTGACACATTTGCAGTCATGTGCTGAAAGACTCTATGGAGTCACTCTCCTTTCTTACAGTCAGCTCTCAGAGTCTCAAGTCCCATCACAGAGTCTGATGCGCAGCGTCGAGCACCTTTTTCCCTCTGGTGAAACGTTCGTTCTTTGTAAAGTTTCACGTTGTATTGCATCATTGTGAGATCGACCTTGTCAAACGCTGCACACAAAAACATTCACACGCTCGCGCGCGCACACACACGAATGCTTTTCAACAGCTGCCAATGGGTTGCATTTGTGATTCAGGCTTAATTGTGACACGTTTAAATAAATCATGTAAAAAGTCATTTTGATCAGAGAGATCGTTCCTTGTCTACCTTTGTGCCACGAGCCAAACTGTGCCCAGGATAAAGTGAAACAACAGCCGAAGGTACAGCTGATGTTTTCCACTAAAACATATGTGGCGACAGACTGTAGAGAATGTAAAAACACTGCTCACGAGCTTCTTGACAGGATTTGAAAAAAAAAAAAGCTTTCTACATTTGGCTTGCTGCTCATTCATTCTGTTATGCTGTGCAGTTCTCCTGCATCGCCCAACACATTGCTTTTTAGTGCTCGTTTGGGTTAGAGCTGTCCTAATATCTAATTTTCCCATTAATGTCACAGCAATGGCAAAAAAGCGCATAGTAACCAAGGCAATGAAAAAAAACATCATTTCTAACTGCAAAAGGCTACAAATTGCTTTGTTGATGATAGGAAACCAGTCATCTAGCTATCTGGGATTTCTGTTCATAATGAAAAACTTGGTGCATACTACCTAGGCATAAAAAAAACCTACAGATCTTTGGTGTTTGCTTGTTTCAACATGCTGTCCCTATATTAAGAAAAAATTGAACTTTAATGGATGATAAATACACCATAATCACAGCCCTGGGTTCAGATCTCTAGTCTGCTGAATACTAGATTGTCTATTTGTGGGGCTACATTGGACTGAAAGCCATTTGCGATGCATGGGCAGTTCACGGGGCACCTCATATAGTTCTAATGCCCTCATAAGGAGCAGTGGCTGACCGTGCTTAATGAGGATTAATGCAGAAGCAGATTGGGGTTTGCGCCTTCCCAGACACACTTCTGCCACAGCATTCCCGCTTGGCTGTTATTGATTGCCCCCACTGAGGGTCCGTGTCCCTGTGCAACCTCGGGGAACAAGTGTTAAATGCAAAGCAAGTGAAAAATAGAGTTTGATGGTGACAAGGAGAGGAGGAGGGAGAGAAATGAGGAAGTGGTGATATGCAGGGTTTAAAGCCCAAGAGAATGGTGAGAATTTGAATAATGAAAAAAAAAACATTGCTTTTGACATGGAGCTGTGCTTCCCTAAGTGAGTATTGGTTCTTTATTTATCGTTATGCTGCCAGACAATAAAATAAAACTGCTGGAAATAGTAGAGGTATGAATATAGACTGCTCCTGCATGCCTTAAAGTTTTAGGCCTGGTGCCCTACAAAATGCAGAAGACATCTGTAGATTTAAATGAAACACAGGATGTTGTTTCGTTTCTGGCATGAGGTGCTATCAGATTCCACATTTTGTTTTAAAGTGTGACATATACAATAACACTAGTTTAATTTCATGGTTTGATTGCTGTGACATTTCATGGGATCTCCTCAACCATCTGTCCCATTTCTTTACAACCAAACAATAAATATACTCCAGCATATAGCAACCTGCCAACCGTGTCTCTCATTACGCAGAAAGATTCCAGCGAAAGCTGGCAATATTTTCATCTTCTTTCACAGCCATTAGTAAGACATCTCCTCAGGTTTTCAACATTTTTTTTCTCGTCCCTCTCTGTGGCAATGTCCCATATTCGTAGGTTCCTCGCATACAACACATCTAAATATAGACTTTAATGGCTGCTGAGCAAAATCAAAGAGAAAAACAAAACAAAACAGGAATAATGTAGGTGCCACCCGCAGTGTGGGGTTTAAGAGAATAGAAATGCATGAGGCGTTTCACTGTCCACTGGAATGTATACAAGAGTCAGTCAGTCACTGGGAATGGGGGGTGGGCTTGGCGGCTTGGTGAGGGCGTTGGGGGTAGTCTCAGTGGTGGCCACTAGTCATACTGGCCCTTCAGTCAAGCCTTCCAGGGGAAGGGTGGTGGCGTTGTCAGTGGGCTGCGGGTCGTCCTGAGGATGCATGGGCGTGTGCGTGGCGACAGCCAGGCTGGCATAAGGCAGGTGGCAGTCCATGTGCAGGAAGGGGGGGTAGTGCTGGCGGTAGCAAATGTATGCAAACAGCAACCCGATCACTCCTCCAACAAAGGCGTCTGCGAGGCACAAAAACAGATATATTTAAAGGAATGCATGGATAGCTAAGTTTAGCCTGCGTGAAGGAAGTAAAATAACACCTGCAAATAGAATTAGCACAATTAATAAGCCATTGATGTATGTGTTGCAGTGCTTATATTGTAGTTTGGAGTTCGATGAAAGAAACTTGAAAGGGAGAGTAACGAATCTGCTCTGCTGAGCGGTGGCTTCACTTGCCTCAGGACAGGAGGCTGTCTGTGTCACTTTGTCATATGCTGAACAGGCTTGTATTATACCTAGCCACCTTTAAGCTATAATATATCATATAATATCACACTGCCATGGTGAGTATTAAGTCTATATTGCTCCATATAGATCAAAATGACACAGCCAGCTGGTGGCTGAAACAGCTCTAGTAGAGGCTTCTGCCATATCAAAATGATGTTTTTTCCACAGGTCTCCCTTTATTTCGTCCTTCTGGGTGAAATGAAAAAAATACTGCAACATCGATTCCCGCCATTCAACAGCTGTACAGTGCACGAGTTTGCTCACTGAATGTTTCATCGACTGCTGTCAACCGAATTTAATAGACTGTGACTTGATGCGATATATTAGCTGGGCGGCCTCGTTGAGACGGCGTGTGGAAGGCCAGCCTTTTCCCCTCAGAGAACAGAGGGCACATCCAAAGTGAAAAGGAATGGTGAGGAACATTAGTATCTATTGAGAATGGTGCCGCAGCCTGGCTAATGGCAGCTCCCAGCTTGTGTTTACAGTGGGAGCAGATTGAGCCCCCTCAAGTTTAATAGCCCTTTGCGTACTTACAGTTTGCTGAGGAGATTCACGACAAAAAGTCGAGCTAAGAAACACAATGAGGACCCATGCAATGATTGGCTTGTCTTGAACTGCTGTAGGTGCTTTGCTTTCATTGTAAATATATTTTAGTTCCTAAAAAAAGTGGAACATATGGCTCTCTAAAACTAATTAACACCCCATGACAGAACTGTCATCATATTTGCACATGCGCTTTTACACACCTCACCCACATATTCATTCGCTTCCTCTCGCTTCACCCCTCCATCCCAGGTTTTTCTAAGTCTTTTAGTAAATATATGAAGTTAAAACAGAGAAAGAATAATGATGTGGAGAAACATGAAACCTTAACCTTATAATCATAATCTCCTCCCAAAGCTGGTGAATGATATGATGCATCTGATGCAGTTTTCAGGAAATAATCATTATGCAATATCTTAAAGACAGCTCTTTAAGACACAATTTTACCCCTGTTGGACAAACAAGTGAACTTCTTAGTTGGGCTTATTGTACCGGCTGCACTTTTTAGCTTCCTCTCAATTTGTCAGGTGTGATGATGAAGTTAAAGCTTGTTGTGATTATAGGAATACAGCTGTTACAAGCATAGGCCTCATTACTCATCTGCATCTACAATTACAAAAGTTCCTTGAGCAAGGTTGGACTGAACATCAATAATTTCTGGCTGACACGGGCACAAGACTTTTTGTGGCAATAATTCTAATAAATGGAGGAAAATCTCGTGTCTAAGTTGTCAGGCAGACCTTGCCAGTGGTGTTTGTAGTCACAGGTCCGGGACAGTGCAATCATCATGGCGCTGTAAAGAGGCAGCACCATAGCACAGAGACGCCAGCTACGCCCGCGACCTTGATCCGTAAAACACTGCAACTTTCCCGCCAGGTAGAAGGAGGTGAAACCAAGACCTGAGAATGCAACTAGAGGGAAGACAAAGAGAAAGAAAGAGAGACAAATCAATATTGAATGTTATGTTACAACATTCAGATTATCAGTTGATGTCTTGATCTAGGCTCTTGATATAAATACAGTCAGTGAGCCAGTCACACAAGGCTAGTTCAGTTACTTTTAATTCAGTTTTTTTTACATAGCACCAAATCACAACAGTTGCCTCAAGGGGTTTTATATTATAATGTAAAGACCCTAAAATATAAATAATAGAGTGATGTGATACCACTCAGCCAATCAGCTCTGTGCATTCCAGGTGGTAAACACTGACTCTACAGTGTCAATAGCTGAGAGTAAGTTCTCAGCTATTGAGAGAAAATAAACACAGGGAAGCTCTTTTCTTCAGGGTCTCCAAGGCCAAAACAACAAACAAAACACCCCCTTTAGATGGTAGAAAGAAAGGGAGAAATACAGAGGATTGTGTGAAAAGATTAAAAAATTGACAAGGAGGAAGGAAGGAAAAAATTAGGAACGAACGGTGCAGTGCAAAATTGAAAAGTGGACAGTGAAAATAGAGCAATGGGTGAACGCTGGGCCTCTCCAGATGCAATTTGTTGATCTCTAAGATGATGAGGACCTGAAAGAGCAGCTTGTATGTGCTGATCCTTGCACTTTTCAACTGAGTAAGGTTTCTCAGGTATGAGGAAAGTAGCCCTGTGTATCTTGACCATGTTTGGGTCTACACACTTAACCGAGGCAGTTTTCTCCACAGTTATAAATGGCCTATATAAATTCACTCACAATAAATTTGTGTGTAAATGATCAGTATTTATTCAGGTTTTGACGCACACGTTTGTAAAATAGTTTTACATGTGGTCAGATTGCTTCTTACTTGTGTGTGGATTGAAGCACGCGCCTGAGAGTCCTAGAAAGTTGCACACAAAATTGGTGTACATATTTGTAAGTTTAAATTTACACTTGTGGAACATATTTTACACATTTGCAACCCTTTTTGCGGCACATTTCTCTCCATAATTAAAAGAGGCGAATAAAGGGAGCCTCTAAACCTGCTCACAACTGTTCAGCTGTGTTGAGATTTATAATGGTTGAGACTTTTCAGTCCGGATAGGAAACAGAAAAGAGGCAATTCGAGATTTTCCGCCCTTTATTAGATTTTTTTTTTTTTTTGTGTGTCCCGTTTGGATCTTTAGCCATCAGAATTGTTGTCTTAAGGCCAAGAAAGATGCCAAGCGGATTTATTTTACCAAGTGGATCATCATGGCCTTGCCATATTGGTCCATTTGATTGACCTTTATTATAATTATGAATTTATTTTATTTTCAGTTGCTACAAACGGGACAGACATGACTGGGGGATAGGACAGGGAGAAAGAATGAAAGAAAGAGAGGGAGAGAAAGAAAACCAAAGGGGAGAAGAGACGGTGAGAAGGGGGGGAAGAAAGAAAAAAAAACAAACAAAAAAAACAAACACCTGGGTCACCTGTATGGAGAAAAAAAACAGAAGAGAAAGCAAACAACAAAGAGCAACATAATAAAAAAAAACGGCACCATCACAATAAACTAGCTAGCAGTAGATATCAGTAGATACTAAATAATAAACGATATTGTGCAGCACGCAAGATAGACAGCGCACAATGTGCTTTGAGGCAGCAGCCAAGAAAGCTGTAGTCCGCGTCTGTGAATACCCGTGTGTACACCTGTGTGCATACCTGTGTGGATCAGCATGCTTGCATTCCAAAGGTTTCTCCATGTAACGATCTGCTAGGGAGTGTGGGGAGCCACAGCCCCGTCCTCCAGGGTATGAAGCAGGTATGGAGGAGATCAAAACTCCAGACATCCAGAGGCCCCCAGAACACAAGAGACCAAGGAAGACCAACAGAGGGGCAGCCGCGCCACTGTCCCAGAAAGAGCTGAGGAGAGTCCCAGATGAGGGCTCACTCAGCAGCCGCGGAGCAGAAGCCAGGGGGAGTTGCAGTGACGCGCCCGTGAGCTCCGCCGGCAGCCAGCTGTGCCTGAGTGACCGAGCCCCAGGCCGAGAGGCCGGGGGCACCCCACCTCCGAAGTGGCCCGAGCAAGCCCCAGGCTCCAGGCCCCGATAAGCGGCCGCCAAGGAGTGAGCCGGTGTGTACCCGGACGCCCATCCCCAGACACAAAGAACCACCAACGCACCGACACCTGAGGGAGTCCGCCACTGGCAGGGGAAGTGGTGGTGGGTGGAGATAGGCCTCCAAACCTTGGAGGGCCTGAGATGTCCCCAGAGAGGTGGCGTCTGATACCCAACCTGACATATAGACACAGACATACAGGCACACACAGAACAAACATCCATTCCCACCCTCATGCTCTCATATGCACTTACTCCACACTCAACCAACGTGGAGACAGACATAAAGAGACGCTGTACACACGATCACACTCCCCAAGCGTACTCTACGAAACCGGGTCTAGGTACCCTTGCCCCTGGAGGGGGGAACTGCACCCAGACCCAGGTGGTGTTACCCTTTTCCCTGCGGTGGGGGGAGGCAGACCGCCCCGACTCCGCAGCAGCAGGGAGGCCCCACACTCCAGACCGCAGTCGGACGGCCAACTCCTCCTAGCCCCCCCGCTCCAGCAGGCCGCAGAGAACGGGGGTGAGAGAAGACTCCAAACCTTTTTTCTGATTTTTCTGAAGTTAAACACTTAAACTTTTAATGGCGAGAATTTTGAAAAATCATACATATATGTATATAATTAAACATTGTGATCATCCAGTCCTTTGCTTCAGTAACTTTCTTCTAAGTGGACCTCTTTAAATTTTAGTTAAATACCCCTGCCCTATTGTATGAGCACTTGGCAAGAGTGGGAAGGAAAAACTCCCTTTTAACAGGGAGGAACCTCCAACAGAACCAGGCTCGGACAGGGGCAGCCATCTGCCGTGATGGGTTGAGGTTGAGGTGAGGGAGAAAGGACAAAACACAAGCTGTGGAAAAGAGCGAGAGATTAATAACTCCTGATTAAATGTGGAGTGGTGTACAAACACAGAGAGGGAAAAGAAGTGAGTGAAGAAGCCCCAAAAGTAACCTGTCTATATAAAATCATACTACAGATATATTTATGTAGTTTAAAAGGTAAATGAAATTGTACTTATAAGTCACCTTTCTATTCAGCTGAGCAGTCAAAGCAACTTATTACTATAAGTCTCATTTTCACCGTATGACACACAACACTAACATTCACACACACAAACACACACATGCTTAAGCATCAGGTTGAGCTTGGACTTCAGTACCTTGCCCAAGGATACTTCAACCTGTGGAGGAGTTAGGGATCGATTCACTGACCAGCTGATCCATCTGTGTAACTGTTGAGCATTTTGGAAAAATGTAATGGAAACTGATAGGAGTTTTGCAGCAGTTTTTCAGAAGTTGAGTATGTGTTTCCACTGCACTTTTACCTGCTTTCAATGTGCATGAATTGAATGATAAAGAAAATGGAAAGAGGTCAAACCTCCAGCAAAACTTGCAATGTACAGATAAACATTTTTTAATTGACCAAGGTGTTTTGGCTTGTGGCCTTCAAGCGATCATCACAATGAGGTCGTTATGATGAGATGTTGTTGGAGTTTTTGACCTCTTCCCACAGCTACCCACTCACAGGTAATTTCACTGAGACTGCAGTCTCTAAACGCTGTGCTGAAACACTCTGCAGGTGCCTAGGAGCAGATGGGAGCAAGCAGAAAACTACACTTACAGAGCTAAGCAGAGCCCACACTCTCAAGGAGACTCATTTAGCAATTTGCATACTCTTGCAAAATGAGGTCTGTTTGCAGCATCAATGTGTGCATCCCACGTGAAATAATTAGCTTCCTAATGACTGAACACTGAACAGCTCTCACCTCAAAACAAGAAAGTCCTGGGTTTGAATCCATGAGTCAGCTGGGGCTTTTCTATATGAGGACTATGTTTGAGTTCTGTGGGAGTTCTCTCTGGGTGCACGGTTTTCCTCCCACAGTCCAAACACGTGCACTGGTAATGGTCTAAATTTGCCGTACATAAGAAAATCATCGGATTAGTGATCCTATGGAAGCACTCACTCACAAAAAGAAGAGAACACACATGTCCCAAATCGTACCACTCGAGAGTGGGTTAGAGTTTATAAATTACACACATACCCACAGAAACATACGTTACAGTGAAAAATAAAGCCCCGAGTAAGAAAACAATCGTGACTGAGCTACTCGCCATGCAGTGCTGAAGAGACCACCCCTTGTTTTAACTGATGTTGTAGAAAAAGCAGCAGTCTAATTATCAGAATTAAAGGTTTTGTGATGGAGCCATTAATCTTTGCCCTGGCACAGGGTCATTAGTTAACTGCTACAGCAGGCCAAACAGCACCCAGCCTCACCCATCAGATGCCCATTTGTCACTCACCCCACAATCTGGCCCAGAATACTAAGACCAGCAGGACACATGTGCAGCCAGGAGAGAGAGAGAGAAAGCGAGGAAATCCAATGGGGGTAGAAGGAAGAGGCAGAAAGTTCAGCCGTCCCAACAGCTGCCTGTCTTGCTTTCAGGTGATGACTTGGATCCATTAACAATTCTGAATTTTACACTGGACAATTTACACCAGCATAGTGGACAGTTGGTTTAGGCTAATATAAGATTTATTGCTATGTTATTCAGTGTTACTTGCATGGGAAGTTATGGAGATATTGTAGTTTTCCTTCATTGCATCCTTATTCAGAATACTTTCTCATATTACATTTTTCTGCGTTTTTTTGTTTGTTTTTTTGCTCTTTTTGTTTTTGCTGGATTGCTCACAATGTATCTTCTTCTTGCTAGCCAGCCAATTTACCCATCAGATGTTAGCAAAAGTTGGATCCTGCTTGAAAAGTAGACTGGGGTAAACTGGGAGCCCAATTAATGCGAGGAAAGATGCAAACACTACAAAGATAATGAAGCTTTGGGTGATATAAAGCAGATTTAAGAGGCTCCCAGAGGAAATTCACACCTGCCCAATATTAACAATGCATT